CCCAGCCATTTCAGGCACTTCACTGTAACAGGAGACACTTCTAGAAGTTGATCAGGCATCCTACTTACCATCGCTGCTGCCCTCGACTGCTGCCTGCAGCTGACTTTGCGCTTGGCCGCTGCGATTTTTGAGTCCGAGAATTGCGTCGATTGTGTGGCGGGGCGTCAAAGTCTGACCGCCAGCTCCGAATTTGCGTGCGTTGTCCTTGAGCGACATTTCGCTGTCTGCAACAGAAAAGAGGCACAGTCAGAGGGAGCACAAGCAACAAGAAGAGCAGAGTGTGTTAGCTGGCCTTTCGGCTGCTGACTGGCATGCATGAGAATTAAAAGCCTGTTTGCCAACAGTTTGCAAAACAATTAGGCGCACGACACAAGCGACAACAGCAACTACACTCAGAGAAAAACACGGCGAGTAACTAGATAAAATATTAAAAATTTAATACAATATGAAATCTAAGCTCTTTTAGATACTAAGATCTGTTTCAATAGAAATATAAATATAGATGCGTTCCGGTTTTTGCCGAACCTCTATAAAGCTGAAGTATTTCCTAATTTAATCATTTTCCTCATCTCTTTTATATATAGTCCATACAGTCTACAATATTTCTCAATCTACAACCATTGTCTCTACTACAGCTCTTTCTGCTTAGTAACAAATCCTTAATCCTTGTTTGCCTTCCATTTATAATTCTTGAGTCGCTACAGCTCATAAGTCATTTATACGTAATAGAAGTCTCTTCTTCTTCTTCTAGTAAAAAGACCTTTTTAACTCATTTTCCAGTCCAAATTTGATTTTATAGTCGAAAAGCAAGTCCTATATATGACATATTCCAGTTTAGCTGAAATTTTTTTGAAATCTCTACCTCTCACCCCGCTTTAGAGCCAGTTCTCTATCTTGAGAATATTCTAATGCCTAGAGAAAAGAGAGATAACAACTTTAAGATATTTTATTGATAGAGATTAATATTTTTAGATATTTTATCTAGAAAGATTAAAGCCTTTTGATGTTGTTCTTTAGGGAGGATGAAATCATGGTGTGCTAAACCAAATTAGAAAATATTTCCTATAGTCCTTATCTTTTGTCCCTAGTTTCTCAAATAACTTCGAATTCTGTTGAATATATTTGACTCAAATTTAAAAAGTTCTTAATTTTTATAGCGATTTTCCACATTTAGAATAGGTTCTCTATCTAATTATATATATTCTTATTTATATTCACAATATATGCAATCCCCATTCTTTCTTCAATTTGGCTAAAAGCAGAAATAAGAAATTCTAAACGCTTTCAAAATATTTCAAAATATAATTGAATATTTTTTAGTTTTATATAGAAAATCGTTATATTTTATATCATAATTTTTTATAAGAAATCTGCATAAAACATAGAATTTTAATAAAAGAATTATTAGCTGAAATCTTAAGATATCTTGTGCTTATCAGTAAACCCTGGAGCTTAACTTTGTCGCTTGTTTCTCTGAGTGCATGCAAATATTGTCAGCTATTTTTAATGTTTAAACACACACACACACACAGACATACTTGCTTTTGGGGGACACAACTTTATTTACAGTTTTAACGAGCTAAAAACTGTAATTGCAACTAAGCGACATATTGCCCACAATCGCTCTATACAAACACACACACACACATAGGTATAAATGATTTTTTTTCTAATGAGCGTTTGTCATGCCAAAGGCGAAGCTGAAAAGTAGGCAACAGTTTTTTTTATTTAAATATTTTACCAGCTGCCGCTGCTGTCGCTGTCGATCGTTTAATTTATGTATTTTTAACGAATTTAAAATGTTAAATGGAAATGTTTTTAGGTTTTTCCTCTCTTCATTGTTCCCTATATGTCGCGCATGCCTGGGCAATTAGTTTATAATTTGCAAATTATTTTAAATGCCAGGCCCGGGTGCATGTTAATGCTCGGCCCAAAATGCAAAACAAGTCCGTGAACACGCATTCGCACAGTGGCCGCTGTCAATCAATGTATGCATAGGTAAAGCATTTCATGTGCCGCAACAATTTGTGCTTAATTAAATCGGTAATCCGTAATGGCAGCCGCTTTCCGGCTAACTAAACTACTACGACGACTTCTTTCTTACCCTCTGTGATCACAGTGTTGTTGTTGTTGTTGTTATTATTGTTGTTGTTGTTGCTGCTGCCATTGCCGTTGCCCAGCTGTGCATAGTGCTCTTGGAATTGTTCCAGATTCTTGAACTTCTCCACAATCAACTGCAAATTCTTTGCATCTCGCACATTGGCCAATAGGTGGCGCAGATGCTCCAATTGTTTGGGCGCCATTTTGTGATGGCCGCCGCTCTGCTGTGCCAGCTGCTCGAAGATGTGCTGAAACGTTTGCTTATGCTCCATATTGGATGCAGCAAGACTTGCAACGGCTGAACCAGCCTCCACGGCAGCAGCTGCAGCTGCAGCAGCAGCAGTAGCTGGCATAGGCGGCGTTGCAGCTCTGGTCTTAATATCCATCCTTTTTATATATAAAAATTCTTGTTATATTTCTTATTAGTCACACACACGCACATACACACACGCACACGCACAAAATTGACAAGAGTTTTCTGTTGCGACGGCTTGCGTGTCTTTATCTTTATTAATAACTGTTATGCCAACAAGAACCGTAACCGAAATACGTTGCGCACGGTGCCAAGGCAGAGTTGGCAATAAACAAGTCGCAGCGACAAGCAGAGCCAGCCAGCCAGCAGCAAGCAAGCGAATTGAAAACCGGTTTTGTGTGCCTGTGCGTGCGTGTGTATATGTGTATATGGAGGGCGGAGCTAGCGTAAATCTGAGAGCGAGCAAGCGAGCGCGCTAGAGAGAGCGCAGCGCAAGCGCTATTAAACGGGTTGCAGCTACTCTGTTGCTCTCTTTCTTTCTCGTCTCTCTCTCTGCTTGCCTGCTGTCTGTCTGCCTGTGAGCAGCAGCACGCGTGCCACTGCTCTGCATATGTGTCTATTGTGTGTGTGTGTTTTTTTTTGCCTATTGCATAGGCGACAACTTTTGTTTGCCAGCTGCTGCTTTGTTCGCTTTTAAATACAACTGGCGTTCACACAACAATATGCAACAAATTAAGAACGAGCATCGGTCAAAAAGATGACCAAACCACCGTTAGCTTGAGTAGACTAGAGTAGCAGACACGCTCATCCTATCTCCACTGTCATAGCTAGTGCCGTTAACTGAATTTAGTTAATATCCTGTTATTGTTACACATATTTGTTGTGCAAATCACTTGCAAAGCTCGTTTAGCCTATTTAACAGTTAGCTTAGTTTAACAGCTACTATCTTTCGTTGTTCACCTTTCGCGTACCTGTTGGTATGAGTTGCGGCTGTTTTACGCTAGCTCAGCTCGGTTCAAATTCAATTCAATTCACTTCACTTGACTCATTTACTCGTTTACGCTATCTTCCATTACACGTTAAATGAAAATGTCGAGGCGTAGGGCGAGCGGGCAAGCGGGAGGGAGACAACGGGAGGGCACAGACAGGCAGCAGAGTTGTTATCCTGGTCTGTCACGGGGGTTTCCTTTAGCCAGCGATTCGATTTGTGCCAACTAATGAGCTCTTAATGTGCGTTTATTCTTACGCATAACGAGCTTGCCAAACGTAATTATATGTGCTGCTAGTGTGTGTATGTGAGAGGGAGAGAGGAAAAGAGAGCAATGTGTGAGTGCGTGTGTGTGTATATATGTGAGAAGCTGCCATGTTGGCGCGCTGCTTAATTGAAGTGGAGCTCGACTGGCTGACTGGCTATATACATACACACACACCTGTCTGTATATGTGTTTTGTGTGTGTGTGTGTGTGCGGCAACCGCCTTGCGTCATTTTCATTTGCGCTGCATCCGCTTCGCTTCGCCTTGCTCCGTTTCTCTGCTGCTTGTTGTTTTTGCTGTGTTTTAAATTAATTTGCTTTTAATTTGCTTTATTATGTGGCAATTTCTCCTGCTTCGTACTTTTAATTAGTTTGCTTTTATCGTTAAGCTGTTAACGGCTTTTGGCAACACAATTCACTCAAATTTCCGTCTATTTTTAGTGCTTCTAGTCGAGTTTCTTAGCAGTTTTCTTGTACGGTAAATGGTTATACCGCACGTCGGATGGGACTCTTAAAATTACTGTTTCTTCTTGTGTCTCTGCGTACTCAGAAGTTGAAACTTTACTTCGCTACTTTTCATTCTTCATTATTTTTGGGACTTTTTCTGCTCTACTTTCGTACCTTCCTCCTTAAGACTCTTCTTCACGGCTTTCTCCTCATTCTCTATCCTGCTCCATTGTCTACCTACCTCACATACTCACTACTTAATCTTGGAAAGCTAATTTGGTTGGGGCTTTCTCTACTCCACCAACGCTTCTTCCTTCTGTACTTTCATTTCCTTCTAATTTGCTTATTCTCCATTTTCTTCCAATTCTCTTGCTTCTCTTGTTATTAATTTCCTCTCTTATTCTTCTTTTTGTCTATCTTCTTCTCTTTCCCATTCCTCATTCTGATCTGCGTCTTCTCCTCTTCTCTTCCTGCACCACGTTGTCTTGTGACATCCCTTTATCATCCTTCTGCTCCTTCTCCACTTAATACTCTGCCTCATCGTCCTCAGCCTCCTCTTCGTCATTTGCCTCTTGCCATTTGCCGTCTCATGCTCTCTTTCTCCCTTCCCCATTCTACCACGCAGACAACAATAATTGAATACATAATTCGAAATCCATTTATGGTTCATTTTCTGTCCGATTATGATCTAAACAAGCTGCTTGACAAGCAGTCGGCTTTGATGTACTGATGTGGACTGCACTTAGCTTAATCTCGAACCTCAAATCAAAGCGGGCTGCGCCAGCGCATAAGGCACAAACTAGTTCTGCAAGCAGAGGCTGCCCTTCATCTTCCTCGCACACACACAACAAGCGCTAGCTCTCTCTCTCTCGCTTTGCGCTGCTGTGTAGCCATGCTCTTGCAGCAGAGGCGTGGCCTAAGCAAAGCGACATAGCGAGAGAGTGAATGCGAGAGAGGGAGAGCGAGCGCAGTGAGCGCTTCGGCGCATTGTATGAGAAACGCATACACATGCATTTACATAGATATGTATATATGTGTGTGAGTACGCCTTGTGGTAGACCATTGAAAAAGTGATGAAAATAACTCTCTGTCACTTTATTGGCGCTTAACGAGTTTGAGTTGATGAAGAATTTAATTTATGATGCTGCTCACACCCCCAGACCGCTGCCAGAGACAGAGAGAGCGAAAGAGTGGAGGAGGGTGACCAGGCTAAGGGGTTGGGCGGTGTAGTTGGGCATGGCTCCAACCGCAGCGAGCAGAAGTGCAGACGTCGAGGCAAAAAAGGCTGAGAAATTAATGAACTCGTAACTGTCGCTTTGCAAATTGGGTCGCATGTGTGTGTGTGTGCCTCGCCATTTTATGCGCATACATGTGCATATATAGAACGAGTGTGAGATAGAGTGAGAGAGAGAGGGAGACAGAAACACACACAGCAGCAGCCGCCGCCAGACGTCAAGCTTTGATGATTTAATTTTCTGGTCTTCTAATTTAATTTTATTATAGAAATACAGGCGAACGATGTGTGTGTGAGTGAGAGAGTGTGGGCAAGTCTATGTGTGTCTGTCACACACACACATACTTGCATAGACATGCATGCAAATTCGTTAATGGAAAATGGTGGCGTTTAATTGAAAAAGGAAGTACGCCGTAGGGCGAGAGGATGTGCATGGACCAAACGCAGAGAACAAAGTATGGGTGCGTTATAGCGAGTTTTTGCTGTACTGCACACACTCGTTGTACAGTTTTTTCTTCTGTTTTGTTGTGAGTGCGGTTACTTTTGCAATAACAATTCGCAATTACAGTTATTTGTTTGTGAAATTCATATTTTTTAATGGACAGTCGCAGCGCTGCGAGTTTTTTATAGTTGTTAAATTTAATTGGATTAAAAATGCGCAGATAATTACAAAATGGCGTTAATTAATCGTCAGCCGCCATATTGATTTTGCAGCAACAATATTTAATGATTAACAATTAACAAAGAGAAGCAAGAAGAAGAGAGCGGGAGAAACAGAGAGAGGAAAAATTGCTGCTGCTGCGATTTCTGATGCCAACTCTTTGGGCTGATTGCAGCTGCTGCTTTCTGCCTTAATAAAACCAATTAAAATTCATTAGCTGCACACACACACCTACACACGGGGACACACACACATACAGAGAATCACAATCACACACTAATGCCATCATTCGCTCGTTTTCTCAATTATTCATTCAATTTATGTGGCACAAAAGCCGCTGCTGCCGCCTCGACTCTATACATATTCATGCAGCTAAATGAAGAGAGGCAACACTTAAATGCAATTTACCTCAATTTTAGCATCTTCCATTTTCCATCTTCCATCTCGCCATCTTGCGTCAGGCGCTTCGTCTTAACGTCTTTTCATGGCACTTACATCGTCATTCTATTCGTCTAATTTCATTTTCTTGGCTCTGTGCGAAACTACGACGGCGCATCCTTGGCTCCTTCTGCTCCTTCACTCCTTGGCTCCCTGGTTAGTGTGGCAGCTTCTGTATTCTGTACTGCCTGCCGTCTGCCTTAAGATTTGGCAGCTCATGCGTTTTTCTAATTACATTCAATTATAATGTTGATTGATATGTTTGTCTAACACAGCGACTGCCAGGATTGCCAGGCAGTATTCACACAGCATTCAACTCGAGCGATTGTCATTGACTTGAGCTAAAAATAAATACAAACGATTTTTGCATTACAATTGAATATTCAAACAGAGATTTTTAAAATAAAATTAAATGTTACATTTAACTTAACATATGTTACAGCTAGCTTAACAGTATGTAGTTAGGCTAACTTCTATCAGTGAACAGTAATTAAACTAATAATAAAGTAGAATAAGCATTGACTAGAGGAAGTTATATTTCAGTAAAACTAAAAATCGAGAGTTAAGTTGGCTTATGTTAAACCTATGCTAACATTGGCAGCTTAACATATGTTAAAGCAAGATCTACTTTGATTTGTAATTGTAAGTTAGCAAGGTAAGCCAAGCAATTAGTTAACATATGTTAAAGCATTATTAACATGGGATGGCATGAGGCTGTTAACCGTAATTTAAAACATGGAATTTAGCAGCGACACGTGTTAAGCTAATCTTAACTTTAGCTAGTTTAACATATGTTAAAGTGAGGCTAAGATTGGACAGTTAACAGTAACTTTACAGTTGGCAGTTTACATATGTTAAAGATAAGGTATTTGACTTTGAATATGTATGTAAATGAATACGAATAAATAAAGATATTTATGCCTTAACAGGTAACTTAACTTAATGCCAAAAGCAGACATCTGATGTATGCAATAACTAATCAATAATTTAAGTTTGAACTCTACAAGAAGCAAGGTTTACGCTTACTGGACTCTAGCTTCCAGCCACCTCGAAACATATAAAATTTAAGTGGCTGACTTAGTGAGTCTGGGAGTTCACGTTAGGCTTTATTAAATCTATATATTTAGCTATATTTTATTAAATATTTCATTTAATGCAGAGTTTAATGAAATTTTCATTTTAATATGTTTTCCATTCGATCGAGCGATTCGTGATTAGGCAACAAAATTGAAATTTCTCTGAACATTTTGGGGCTCGCTTATTGATTAGAGACTCTGATTAATTATGCGCATTATTTTGTATTCACAGACAACAAATAAACAAATGATATTAATTATTGCAAAACTGAAAACATTTTCGATATTTATGAACAAACTTTTGCCTCGACCATTTGCATTAATAAATTCAATTATGCATTTTAATTGCAATTCGGCCAAAATTTCTATAAACTTTTTCCGCTTTTTTGTTTTTGAAATTAATTATTTAGCCGAAAAGAATTAAGTTTTTGGGAATCGAACCAAAAATTAAGCTTTATTTGTGGAAATTGCAATTCAATTAAGTTGCCAAAACAAATTGCAAATCGACCAAATGGACACATGAACAACAACAACAACAACAACAATCGAAAAGTTGTTTGAATAATTTCATTAGCGTTGATTTGCAGCAAATGCAATTCGCAATTGCAAACAGCCTTCGCCCCAGCCACAGCCCCAGCTGCCTGCGCCTGATTATATAACCTACTCTCCACATGTCCATATATATATATGCATACACATTTATATATATATATATATATATATTAGATACAGGTTGTGCGGCTCTGCATCAAAGCGAACGCATTTTAGACCTCGTCTGAAGCAAATGGTAAATCAAACCAGCCTCAGTCACCTCCACGCGCCCACCTTCGATAAAGCGTAATTACTGCCTCTATATGGAGTGAATCGTAGCACACGTGCACTGTGAGAAAATGTATGCGAATGTCAACACTTTGTAACGAAAATAAATATATTTACATTCTATCCTATTGCAGATCTACAAGCCCCTTTCTCCACTCTCCACTCTATACTATCCACTCTATACTCTTCACTATCCACTCTCCATTCTACATTCGCCACTGTCCCCTCTCTACTCTCCACTCTTCACTCGCCTCTCTCCGCTCTCCACTCTCTACTCTTCACTCTTCACTCTTCACTCTTCACTCTTCACTCTTCACTCTTCACTCTTCACTCTTCACTCTTCACTCTTCACTCTTCACTCTTCACTCTTCACTCTTCACTCTTCACTCTTCACTCTTCACTCTTCACTCTTCACTCTTCACTCTTCACTCTTCACTCTTCACTCTTCACTCTTCACTCTTCACTCTCCACTCTCCACTCTTCACTCTTCACTCTCCTCTCTCTACTCTTCACTCTCCTCTCTCTACTCTTCACTCTGCATTCTCCGCTGCCCCCTCTCCACTCTCCACACTTCACTTTCCATTCTACATTCTACATTCTCCACTGTCCCCTCTCTACTCTCCACTCTTCACTCTCCTCTCTCCACTCTCCAATCTCCATTCTACATTCTCCATTGTCTCCTCTCCACTCTCCACACTCCACTCTGCACTCTTCACTCTCCACTCTCCACTCTCCACTCTTCACTCTTCACTCTTCAGTCTTCACTCTTCACTCTCTTCTCTCTACTCTTCACTCTGCATTTTCCACTGTACCCTCTCCACTCTCCACTCTAATCTCTCCACTCTCCACACTTCACTTTCCAATCACCACTATCCGCTCTCCACTCTCCAGTCCCCACTCTCCACTCTTTAGTCTTCTATAAAATAACTCAGGTTTTCTCTCAGTGTACCTTGCATCCGTAACAACTGCTGGGCCAACTGATAATTAGAAGCTACAACAGGGCACGCAGTCAGTTTATGTGTGTATAATTTGACTGTGCCTTGCCCGAGAGAGAGAGAGAGAGAGAGGGGGAGACTGTGTGAGCGACATAGAGCTAGAGAGAGAGAGAGAGGCAGAGTGTGTGAGCATTTGAGTTAGAGAGTTGAGGGTGCGTCACCGCAGGAGGCGCAAGCCCAATCCCAATCCCAATCCCAATCGCAGTTACCGGACACATTGCCAATGCCAATCGCATTGCCATTCGTTGGGCTGGGCAACATGTCCGCAACAGTTTCCGCTGCACTAACGAAATTATAGACGCAGACGAACACAAACACAGCTACACAAATTCTAACACATGGATGACCGACTCTGCCGAGCCGTGTCCTGCGGCGCAGCAGAGCGAAGCTCAGCAACGACATCGACATCGACATCTACTGCGCTGCCTAAATGCTCTTTGAACGTCTAATTAGTGGATTAGAACGCAGCGCTGCGAACTCTCTTGGCCCAGTGAAATTGTGTGGAAGATTTGCTCTGGCTCTGGCTCTGGCTCTGGTCTAATTAGCTCCGGGACAGCAGCTGGGGTAGGAGTAGAGCCAGCAGTAGGGGTGGCGTACAGCAGCCCTTAAACCGAATTAGCCAATATGTAAACAAATCTATTTACATGACGTTAATTGCAATTTATTTTAAATGACGCTTCGAATATGCTTAAAGAACTGCAAATAGTTTTCGAAAGTTTTGCAATATTACAAAAATATATTCAAATGGGTAAAGGAGGAGGCTGCTGAAGAAATTAATCTCTCCTTACAGAGAGACAAAGCAGCACAATCTAACATAACTTCGCATTAATTTTTCCTTAAAAAATTAATTTTTAGCATTTCTTTTTTAAGCATAACTCGAGAACTATAAGAGCTAAAGATATGAAATTTGATATGTAAATTTTCTATATATATGCTAAAACTGGGAATAACTCTTTTCCTAGATAGCTTGATCTATTCCCACTATATCACCAAATATCTGGCATAACTACTTTAGTTTCTGTCATTTTCTATATTACGGCATATACCGTGTGTATATATATTTAATAAATATATTTTATATATTTAAATATATATATTATAAATATATTATTATATTTAATAACTAATACATTTAGCATATATATTTAATTCGATTTAAATGCATTTATGACGCCTTATCTTTATATCTCTTATTGTCTATTTCCGATTTTCTCTCAGATTCTCTCTATCTTACTCTCACTTTAGATCTACCATATGATAGATGTTCTTGATTATCCCATTCTATTATTCTATGTAATCTTCCCCAAGACTCTGTCGATATTAGCTAAGTCCCAAGACGATCCCCATCAGTTATATCCACAAATGAGTTTTTTGCCCCCACACTTTCTATATTTAAATATAAATGTATTAAAATAAAAAATATTACAGCCTCAATCTCTCATGTACACGCTCCCTCCCTGATAGAGTGGACTGAAGATGTTGAACTTGACCGTGCGTTCGCCCAGCTCCTGTACGGGCCGCGCATTCCTGCTGATGCGAGAGCCGCTGCGACTGCGCAGCTTGCGGAACTCGTGCAGCTGCCGCTCGCTGATGGCCAGAGGCAGCGGATTGATGAACCACTCGGCACCACGATGACAGGGCGGTTCCGTGAGCGAGCCGTGATAGCTGTAGAAGCCCGTGAAGAACGGCGGCATCAAGTAGTTGAGCGGAAACGGAGGTATCTCCACGCACTGGCCCGCCCGCTGCACGGCCACCAAGTACTGAGCAATCACATCGAGATAGGGATTCTCTGCGGCTATGGCAAACATATAGGAGATCACGAGCACACTGCGGCTGGAGACCTCTTGGCCCTGGCCGCAGCGCGTGTGCACGCACTGCATCTCCAGCGGGAAGTGCACGTTGTTGAAGGAGTGCTCCGATCCGGCGCCGTCGTCATGCCAGCTCCAGCGAAAGCTGATCTCATGGAACTGGAACGAGCTCAGCAGATCGGCGCCATCGACGAAGGGCGGGTTCCCGTCAAAGCAAGCCCTCACCAGCAGACTGTGCCCATTGTTCTCCAGCCGTATGCCCATGGGCGGCACCTCATAGCCTATCCACATCAGGGACAAGCTGATGTACATCTGCTCCGCCTGCTGCGTGTCAATGTTGATGGGGCTCTGATTGTTCAGCGCCGTTTGCCAGGCGTGCGGGCCATTCACTGCGCCGTAGTCCAGGCCAGTGCTCGGATCAGCATCGCTTATATATCCCTCATTGTCGGTATCTGACTCCTCGCTCTCCTCCTCATTGTGGCAGCGCACGAGTCTCTCGATGAGGTAAATGCTCGAGTGGAAGTTGTACAGCATCACCAGGGCCCCACTCACAGCCCACATCAGTATCATCAAATGGCTATCCAAGAAATGGCAAATGAGCTCACGCAGCCAACTCCAACAGATGCCCATACTCTCTCTCTCTCTCTTTCTCTTTCTATATATATATATATTTGATCCAATTAGAATGTAACTTTCCGTCTTTTTTGAGAAACAAACTCAAGAAAATAACCCGTTGTAGACATAAATTTCGATGAAATACTGAGAGAAACTGAGGTTAAGGAAACTAAATAACATTTGATGACACGAGGACTTTGTACTGGGGAGTGCACGACTCGATAATACCCTCGAAATATTGAGTAACTTCGTTGAATCTTTTAGAAGGGTTGACGGACGAAAGGACGGACGCACGAAAGGACATCGGACGGAAAGACAGACGAACGAACGGACGGACGATAAGAGAGACGGAAGGAACAGACAGATGGACGGACAGACAGTTGGAGGGGCAGACGGCCCGTTGGAGAGACGGACAGACGGAGAGAAATGGCAACAGACAACAAATAACACTTTGAGGAACGGGCAGATGAATGGAAGGAAAGACAGACAGATCCGTGGAAGGAGAAACCAACAGACTGAGGTAAAGAAAGGCGAATAGATGGAAGGACAGACGAGCAGGAGGACAGATGAAGTGCGAGAAAGATGGACACAAGATGGTTATGCGGACGAACAGATTAATGGATAGAAAGCCAACGGACAAAGGACAGAGAGACAGAGCAGCAGATCGAAGCAGAAGGACCAATGGACGAGCGGACGTTTATAGAAATAGGTAGACAGATAGACGGACGAATGAGTAGCTATGCAGAGGGCTAAAGAGACGGACGGACAGCTTAGCTTAGCTCAGCAGCATTTGGCTTTGATACACAAGTGCCACTCCACTCTCCACTTCATTACAGGGTATTCCGCCAAAAGCCAACTAAGCCGCCCGCCCGGCTAAAAAGTTAATTATTTTCAAAAACAAATTTGCGCGAAATTTGCAATTTTATTTGCATTTTTGGGCAGTTGCTGGCAATGCTTTGTTGCTGCTGCTGCTGCTGCTGTTGTTGTTGTTGTATATTTAGCATAAATTAATTACGCGAACAACTCTTCAGCGTCGGAAATTACTTGCACAAATATCCTGCGCTGCCGCTGCCGCTGCCGCTGCAGCAAGGATATTAATTAGTTTTGTATACACAAAATGCGAAATGAGCATTAAAAGCGGAAATTATTTTTGCAGCTTCCACAAAGTTTTCGCATATCTTATATATATCTATAGCTACAGCTATAGCTGTGTCTCTATCTATATCTGTATATATATATATCTGTATATATATATATATTTTAATGACTTTTCGCAACGCGCACTAAACTAGTTTTCTTCGCTGAAATTTGACGCTTGCTGCAAGCAGATCGCTGATTAGCATACAAAAAGCAGGTCCATGGCCACGCCCACGTTGCAAGCTGACCAGAGCAGGGAGTGGCGCACCCTCAGCACACTCTCAGTCTGCCTCGCACCCTGCCTCAGTGTGCCTCTCGCTCCGTTTGATTGAATTATGACAATTTTTATCAAATTTGATTTGCTTTGCTTTGACTTGCTGCGGGCCAGTGGGCGTGGCTGCTGTGTGGGCGTTGACTGCCACCAAATGTTGCAAATGTTGCATTGACTTCGCATTGTTGTCGCTGCACGCAAATTGCGGGGCCAACATGTGGCATGAACGCAACACTAACAATGTTGCATGCCCCGAGCGCTGCTTAACAATCATCATTATGTTCCTAACATGATAATGATGAGGGGCACATAAGACTGATGAAGTCAAACTCATTTTGATTGAGTATTGAGCTTAATGAGTCCACTAAATGTATCCAATTACAGTGAAAACTTGAATGAATGGACGCTGCTTGATGATTCCAATTTGATGCCTTCTCGTAGCTGTTGCTGAGAGCGAGAGTCTCGCTGAATGGCTGAATGAAGAAGTGGCTGGGAGGGAGCACAGCAGAACTAAGATCCTTTATAGATAATAAACTCAGCGAACTCACTTATCGAGGTAAAAGGCTAAGCTGAGGCTTAAGAGTTGGCTGCGTTCGTATGGCTGGATAGACGCACAGACTGACAGACGAACTTGGCTAGAACGATATATATAGCATTTGTGGGATCTGTTACTATATCCATTGAGGAAAAACTCCGCCATTCGAGGTATAGAACAAATCATTAAGCAAGCCTCTGCCAGGCTTCAAATTCGTGTTTCTAAGACTATGAAATCAGCCAGTTTCTTCAAGTTTGCCAAGAGAATTTCTAGTGATCTGGATATTAAGTCGAAAATCTATATATTTTAGATCAACAAGTGAAAATGAACAAAGAGCTGGTGAGCTTCAGTGCAGCTGCAATGCTGTTGCAACTGTAATCTGAAGGACTCTGCTGTTTCTTCCTTGTCTATGCCCTAAGCCACTGAAGAGGTAAGTGAAAAGTGTATGTGGCAGGCAGAAGAAGGCGTGGCAGACTCCACAAAGAATATATATTCCTGATGAGCACAATGAGCTCAGTCGAGCTGTCGTCTGGCTCTCTGAAGGTCTGCGCGTAACTGTAAACGCAGCCATCTCTTTCAGGGTAGCTCCTAGTCAGGCACTCCCGCCAAGAGCACTCTAACTTGAGCCTTTTCTTTAGCTTAACTAACAAAGCTTTTACTGCAAACTGATTGCAGTATATAAGGATAGTATTTTCGTAAGATACGATGATAACTCAACAAGGCATATTTTTCCTGTTCTTCAGATGCTTTTATCTATTTATAGTAAAAGTTCCTGAGATATTCGTACATTAATGTAATAAAGATTTAGTTATACAAACTTATAGCTGTTGGTATTTTTTGTGAATATCTCTGTCCCATTATCCTAAGAGCTACAGGTATTAGCAATGCTGCCTGAAGTCATGGCATAGCAAGCAGAGTAGCCCCCAGTCCAGGTAGCCCTGCCTAGCTGGAGTTGGCCTTGCATTAAATTTCAGATAAATTGAGTGAACACATTTAGTATTTATTTAGTATTTTCCTTCTTTCGCACAGAACTGTAAACTGTGTTTACAAACCAGCTGTAAATATATTTTGTTACACCTACAGAATGCTAAAGAATTGCCCACATCTGGAGCAGACGGAGGAAGATGAATATCTCTCCATACTGAATCTGTCCAATGAGGAGGCAATACACGACTTGAAGCTGATTTGTGAGAGCATTTGGTTGCTCAAGGCGCAGATAGCGAGTCGCAGGGCGAGCCTGGCCAGGCAACTGGCCGAGTCGAGTGGCCAGAGCCCGACAACAGACCCCGCAGCCACTGAGGAGCTATCCAAGAGGGAAGACAGCTCCGACACGGATACCCTGTTAAATTTTAGTGATTGTGAAACCGTATCAGCCTTCGAGCTGGGCGATGTGGAGCTCGAGCTAAGCGCGTATTCGACCTCCGCGTCCAGCATACCAAAGTTCCAGATATCGCTGGAGAGCCACGATGAAATTGAGCTGGAGCTGAAGGCGAAGAACTCCTCCTTCCTCTCGTCGGTGACTGCGACCAAACTGAAGCGCAGCTCCACCAACTGCACACTCGACGGCAAGACATTTGGGGACCGCCATCGCGAGCTGCTCATTCTGTGCCAGAAGAAAATGCGACCCTATGGCATACCCATGTACGAGTTCTCCACGTCCTGGACCAGCGGCCACGCCTTCTGCGCCTTCATACACTCCTACGAGCCCCAGCTGATCGACCCCAAATATTTGAAGTGCAAAAATCCAATCGAGACGCTGCGCTACGTGGAGCAAGTGGGCAAGAAGCTGGGCGCCAAATTCGACGGCAACTTCATAAAGTACTTGAGAAGGAAGCGCCCGGGATTCGTGAAGATATACTACTACGTCGCTCAGCTCTACAGCAGCTTGGAGGCCAGGCTAAGAGAGCCACAAACACGGTCAGAATCGCACGAATAAAGCATTTATATATATATTTCTATATACATATATCCATCTGTATACCTTGTGTCTAGTGGCATGCATAGCTACAGGCACTTAAATGCAGCTCAACTCGACTCAACTCGACTCGACTCGACTCGCCTGGCTCGACTCACAAACAAATTGACGCCTCTCACAAACATGCGAAAGAAATTTCCGTTTCCGTTCGAAAACCTCGTTAAACTGACGCGAATTCAATTGCAAATGTTGCGCTGTAAGAGCGCAAGGCAAGCAAAGGTGCGACGCTGGCGCTGCTCGACTAGTGGATACCCTAACTGGCACCTGCGAGCTTCTAGCTGCTAACTGCCTTAGCTGCATACTAAATAGCAAGAATGCTGTAGCTGGGCATGATCGACTAGCAGATACTCTGCCTAGTAGTTAGCCCAACTTGCATATACCCTAACCACATATTACTTCTGTGCTTACAGAAGCGCTTGGAAACTTGTGTAAGCATAAAAGTGCTTTATACTAATCTGACGGACCAGCAGATACCCTGGAACACACTGCCTTGCAAATAAACTTGCTATATAAGACCCACCTAGTGCAGATTGTAGAGCACTTCTATGTAAAAATTAGAGCAGGCAAAAGTGATGTGTGACGACTAGCAGATACCCTGTCTGGAACACGCTCTCTAATACACTCTAGATGCAAGCGCTTGTTGCAAGGATCTATACAGCTTCTTTGCTTATATTACAGCTACAAGATAGGAAAATTGATAAGGCTGGCTGTCTGAACGACTAGCAGATACCCTATATAAGCACCAAGACTTGGTGTTACTTCGACTTGCTGTTACCCTAACCATACATTATCTATCTCTATCCGTAAGAAAGTCACTCACATTTGCTTTGCAGACAAAAGCCAAGTAACATTTTGCATTTCTTGGGTAATGTGTAAAGACATTTAAAAAATGATTTAATGTATATCATCTATATATATCTTAAAAGTACCCACATACCAAATTTGAAGTAACAAGCTCTTATAATTCTCGAGTTATGCTGAAAAGAAAATATGTAGCTAAAAGGCAAAGTTTTATAAAAAGTGAAATTTTCCATATATATGTATACTAATAGATCAGCTATATACAGCATTTCAAATATATAGGTCTGATAGTTCTCGAGTTATGTAGACATATTGAAATCTTAAGTTTTCCAGCTGAAGTTCGAAAAGTTTTCTTTTGCCTGTGGCAAAGACAGGCACAAAAACAACATACCCAGCAGAGAAATTTGCATTG